GGGGAGGGAAGGGAAGGGAAGGGAGGGAAGGGAAGGGGAGGGGAGGGGAGGGGGGAAGAGGGGAGGGAAGGGCAGGAGAGGGGAGGGAAGGGAAGAAAAGGGAAGGGAAGAAAAGGGAAGGGAAGGGAAGGGGAGGGAAGGGCAGGAGAGGGGAGGGAAGGGAAGGGAAGTAGGGAGGGGAAAAGGCAAGGTAACATAAGACATGACATGACACAGAAAAACAACCTAAAGACTGTAATACTAAATAAACAGGTAGTGTTACTCTTATGAGTTTTCAGTGCGCACTTTCTATATCTTCCAAATTCTTTCAATGTAATATTAGGTTGATAATTACTGAAATTTTTTATTTTAATTTTTAAAGTGCACACTGAAAACAGGTGAAAGAGTGATTCACTCTGATAATACTTTGGGAGGTGGCAGCTCACTGGTCCTTAATTGTGAAACCTTAAAAAGCACTTAAGCAGAAAGAGGGCCAATCATTCCAAAGGAGCTAAGCAGACCATTTGCTTGCATTTATCAGGGTTGACATACAAAACCCACTCTGGGGCCCACATAATAGTTAGGCATTATATTTCTTCTGCATCATTTTAATAGAACAATAATAATAGCTACCTTTCACAGAGTGCCTGCTATATGTCAGACATTTATGGTAGGGGTTTTACAGTATAGTATTCTACTCTTAACAACAATTTTATAGAGCAGGTATGGCTCATTTTAACACTTGGAGAAACTAAAATCCAGAGTGGTTAAGAGACTTGCCCAAGGCCACAAAACCAGGAAAAAGGAGAACCAGGAACTGGCCCAGCCAGGTCTTTATGGCTCTGAGGCCATTCTACCACACGGTGTTTTACGGAGGCAGTGTGGTATGACAGGGCGCTGATTCTGGAGACTGAGTGCATCTGTTTGAATCTTGGCTCTGTGACTTAAGAAGTTCTCTGCACCTCAGCTTACTCATCCAAAAAATGCAAATATCAACAGTATATAGGTCACAGGGTGATTATGATCAAGTCATGTGTTGCACATAAATCATTTCTATCAGGAAGTATATGCAGATTCTAAACAAATTCATTTAAGGAATTTGCAAGCAGAGGTATGCAGCACTGACTAATGTAACCAAACTGAGCAAGCATTCCATAAATTTTTAATAATACCAGACAAATACAGTGGTTACCGTGTACCACGCCCTGTTGAAAGGACTTTGTACAGATTTATTCACTTACTCCTTCCCAACAAGAACTCCCAAAAAACCCAGCAATTTACATGGCTCTCTGCTGGCAATTGTAAAGGACTCCTTTACCTGGACTCTTCGTAGATGAGCCACACGTTCCTCTATGGAGGTCTGCAAGGCCGAAGGGACTTTCAAAATCTCTTGGTAATTGTCCATCAGAAACGTCACCAACCTTGCAGCTAATAACTCATCCAAGTCTACTTCGTCCTTGGAACACAAGATGCAGCGGGAAAATGTCTGAACCATCTGAAAACAGAGGAGGAGGCAGTTTTTAGCAAAACACAGAGATGATGTCTGTTCTCCCTACAATGAACTGATTTCAATCTAATTTGCAAAAACCGAATGTGACTAGTGAGTGAGAAATGGCCCACAGGCCAGGGTACACATCTAATCTGGCACCTGGCCATACCTGGTCACCTGAGATGGGCTGCTTTTATCAACCAGCACGAACAGAAGGTCCTTCTTATCTCACAGAGACTCAGCAGAGATGCTTGTCCGAGCAATTTTTAAAGCATATACCTTTACAGACAGTTTTAAATATATATAAATAAATTCTGAACATTATTATCACTACCATTACTTGAATCATGTAGTATTTTAAAGTTCAAAGTACTTTAAAGCCATTTAGTTTATTAGTACCTTATTTCACTACCGATTTTTTAAAAAATCTGCTAGCACAATATATGTGCCTCAACAGTTATGTTTCTTTCTAGTTGACTATAATTTTCTCTAGGATTTTAGATGTACATTTGACAATCATATTTGAACAAAATGATGAGACTTTATAACAAGTTCATTGTTTTTAAAAAAATTATTTTAATGTTTACTTATTTTGAGAGAGAGAGAGAGAGAGAGTGAGCAGGAGAAGGGCAGAGAGAAGGAGACAGAGAATCCAAAGCAGGCTCCAGGCTCTGAACTGTCAGCACAGAGCCTGATGGGGCCTCAAACCCAAAAACTGCAAGATCATGACCTGAGCCAAAGTCAGAGGCTTAACCGACTGAGCCACCCACGTGCCTGTATAATAAGTTCATTGTGATGAGACTTTACAATAAGCAAAAATATTAAAAATATTATGTAGCTGCTTTCGTAGCATGCATATTCACTATTCCCTTCTTAATACTATCCTTTGGGTAGACATTTTTTCCTAGACATTTTTTTCCTTTTCCTATTCATGTTATTGCTGACAATCTTATTTTAAAACCTACAAGCACGAAATCATGTAATTCTTTTTAGTTAGACTTCACTTCATCAACCTACTGCAGATGATACTTTATCTTTCACTCACATGTATGCACACAGAGAGATATGCAGGCAGACATTTCTTACCTGGAGACTCTGGACCTTAGGGAATGTGAATGCTTTGAAATTATATGCAAAAATCTTACATGTGTATTTTTCTGGTGACTAGGTGCAAAGTTCTCTTCAGCTTTTCACAAAGGTCCATTAGCCCCATTATCCACCCACCCAACCAAAAGCAAGGTCAAGAATCACTGTACTGGGCACTGAGTGCTCCTCTGATCTTACTCCACACTTCTAAAACTGGGCCAGAGGACCCCAAGAGTACACCATGGTTGACCAGGACATGGAAAGGACATACATCCCAATGAACCATCAATTTTGCTCCAGGCCCTCCAATTTTTATTAATTAATTAATTACTTATAAATAAAAATTAAAAATTTTTGTAATAAAAAATTCTAAACATAAACCCAATCTTAAAAGACAAGCTGACATTACCAAAGTAGAATTTAAAATTGGCATTGCACCTAGGTGGCTCAATCAGTCAAGTGTCTGACTTTGGCTCAGGTCATCATCTCATGGTTTGTGAGTTTGAGCCCCACATCAGGCTCTGTGCTCAAAGAGCAGAGCCTGCTTGGGATTCTCTTTCCCTCCCTCCCTCTCTGCTCCTCCCCTGCTTGATCTTTCTCTCCCTCAAAAATAAATAAACAAACAAGCAAAGCCTTTAAAAATAATAAAATAAAATTAGCATACGTTTGTAAGCAAAACTGAGAATATTTTATGGACCCTAAGATCATACCCCAGAGTGAACAAGTTCTTGGTCTCGCCACCAGGCTATCTGGTCCAACTCTGTATTTCCCTTCTTTCCTCTTAGCACATTATACAGGCTGCACCTCTCCCACTTGGTATAGTGACAAATGCTTTACAACCCTTTTTGTCCTGGAGGAAAGAATATTGTTTTCTTGAGAGACCATGTATTCTCACTTTCCACCCTTCCTTTTATGTTGACTGTAGGCAGGAGGCAGCAGACCCCTCTAAACTCAGAGCCTGTCCTTATTCACTCTTCACTTTTCATTATGTTATTTAAGACACTAACATCCAAAGTGGGATGCCGTCGGACTGGTTTCTAAGCCACGGCTCCACAGGCAAGCCTGCCTTGCTCCTTCCTCTGGTCGCCAAGCTAGTAAACTCTCCTCGGATGGATTGCATTCCAAAAACTCAAATCAAGTTAGATGTTAGAGATCAACCTACCAGTGTTCGGGTACCCAGACCATCACACAGGACTGGCATCTCCTTATTTAGGCAGATTCTTGCCATCATCCTCATCAACAGCTGTAACTTTCTCCTGTTTTCAGGTGGCAGGAGGAGGCAGCAAACCTGAAATGCTTCAATAGCCATTTTCTCTTTCTGTAACAAACCTGATTTAGAAAGAAGGTTTTAATCTTTTAAAACCAATAGCCAACATGACTCCATTAGGTTTACATTTTTCAAAATATGTACTATTAAAATCATGTACACATATCCAACAATGCTGGGTCAAATTATTATAGATTCAATAAATTGACACAGAAAATACAAACCATCAACTAAGGATGAGAAATATATAAAACAAATACAGCTGTTTCCCTCTCTCATACCCTTAACAGATGTAACCAGATTTTCGTAGTATTCTTTCCCACCGAACCAAGAGGAGTCAGGTTAAGTCTAACCTAACCCTCAGCACTCACAGTTACTAGAGGACCAAGACAGCATGAGCAAAGACATGAATGTGCCACTGCTGCCTTCAATTTCCCCCTTGTAGTATGTCCTCAGGATGAGCAGGGTCACTATCTAACAGGATTCTCACAGAATGAACAATAGGCCTAATATGCCTACAGTCAGACCACTGCCAGATGGCTGCACTTCTTTACAAATGACACATGTCAAATAACCCTTCCTCGCACATAAGCTGTTTTTCCTAGCTAAATGTACTGATTCAATCATGTTATATGCCAACTCTCCTCAACCAAACTACAGTATTCTAATACTGTGCTAAAAATCACGGTTTTCTAATACTGTGCTCTCTTCAACCACATTTGTCCCCAGACACATCCATGTCCAAACCTTCTAATGAGAAGAAACTGCTTTCACCAATTTGTTTGTTCCATACCCAACCTTTCCAAGTTCCCACTAGCTTGTCTTAAAGGCAAAACCATCTTTGGCACCCAGTAAATATTTCTGACCATCGATGATACACCAGGAACTGTACCAAGTCCTGGAAATATGAAAATATGCCAGGTCCCTCACTTTGAAGAGCTGATGTGCTATGAGGAGACACCACTAAAAAACAGTAAATGGGAAAATGTGAGAGGTGCTACGAGAGACATCTACAAAGGTAACAGTAGGGCAATTATAAGTTATTCCCTAGGATATAGCACAGGCTTGGCAGAGAAGTAAAGCTGGAAAGGTCCACAGAGATGAGATCTAAGAAGGCCTCGAACACCAGACTAAGGAGCTTGGGTTTGGCCCTGAAGGCAGTGGATGGGCATGGGAGAGAAAAGGAGGCACAACAGGAGCTTTAATACACCAGGTTCAATCCTAGACGTTCAATGAAAGTACTGCTGCTGATTCTCACCACTAGACCTTCTTTCAATTCTACATAATCAAATCTATGAAAAGAAAAAAGGTTTATGATCATATATTGATTCTTTCTTTCATTTATCCAACAAATATTTATTAAGCCCTGCCTGTATTCCAGGAACTATTTTAGAAGAGGACATACAGTGAAGAATAAAAACAGGGCGCCTGGGTCACTCGGTTGGTCGTCCGACTTCAGCCTAGGACATGACCTCACGGCTTGTGAGGTCGAGCCCCAGGTGGGGCTCTGTGCTGACAGCTAGCTCAGAGCCTGGAGCCTGCTTCGGATTCTGCATCTCCTCTCTCTCTGACCCTCCCCTGCTCACGCTGTCTCTCTCTGTCTCAACAAAAACCAGAATCCTTTCCTGATGTCATGGAGTTTACTTTCCAGCCGATAATAAGTAAAGAGGTATATACATATGGCAGATGGAAAAATGCTATGGAGAAAAAGGAAAAGAGCAGGGGCGTGATGGGATGTGCTCAGAAAAACATTTCTGGATTTTTGGGAAAGGTCTCTAAGGAGGTGAAATGTGAGCAGAGATCTGAAGGAAATGAGAAGAAGCCAGGGAAGTATCTGAGAGACAAATTTCCAAGATGGAGGAAACAGCAATACAGAGATAGTGACATGGGATCATGTTTGGAGTGTGTGAGGAAAAGTGGTGAGGCCAGTGTGAAGAGACAGGAAAGTATAACAGCGTTCAACTAGGAAAGGAGGTGAGAGTGGAAGGCAAGAGTCAGACCAGGCAGAACCTTGTAGACTATCATTAAGGACTTCGAGTTTTATTATGCATAACTTTAGAAACCACTGGAGGGTTCTGGGCAGGGGAATCATTAACCTAAATTACTTCTTATTCTGGCAGCTCTAGACAGAAGAGATTGCAAGGGGGTAACATAGAAGGAGGAAGATGAGAGGCATGATGACGGTCTGGATGAGGCGGAAGAAGTGGAACTAGTAAGAACTAATTAAATTCTAGATCTGTTTCTCCACAAAACCTACTTTTTCCATAAAGCTTTCTATCACATTAGCCCACAAATTCCTTCTTTTTCCAAAGTATAACCACGTTTGACAGATTTTACCTTATTTTATTATGTTTCATGTATATATATTGTTTTATGAAAGAGACAGCAAGCTAATTGAAAGCCTAATGCACTTCCTTTGGTAAGCTGAACTTCCTGGTAAAGAGCAGGTAAATATTCAAATACCTGTTTGTCAATAGAGTTTTACATGGCTATTAAAAATGGTAAATTTTGGGGCGCCTGGGTGGCTTAGTTGGTTAAGCGTCCGACTTTCGCTTAGGTCATGATCTCGCGGTTCATGGGTTCGAGCCCCGCGTCGGGCTCTGTGCTGACTGCCAGCTCGGAGCCTGGAGCCTGTTTCAGAGTCTGTGACTCCCTCTCTCTCTGACCCTCCCCTGCTCACACTGTCTTTCTCTCTCTCTCCTAGAAATAAATAAAACATTAAAAAAATTTTTAAAAATGGTAAATTTTGAAGTTATCGCACAGTATTTCCAGTACAATATTTATGAAGAAAATCACAATAATAAACCTTATAAAAATAAGGTAGTAAAAAGAGAAAGATCAAAAGTACATGAATTTTCTTTTAATTTTCAAATTTCTTTGTTGGGATACTGTTAAACTAACACGTAAAAGTTATATCTATCAAATCTTTTTTTAAAAAGTCTAAATTCTAAACTTCCAGTTGCTTATATACCAAACCTGGAGTTGGCCATGATTTGGGGTTTTATGAAAATTAGGGTGAGATTGTACTGGTAAGTCCATCTCAAGAATTCATCTACACAAACCTACACACTAGGAGACGAAAATCCACCCTTGACTCATTATACATCCCAATAACTCACTGGCCCCCCTGTGAAGCCAGGGACTCCCCATCCTTCTGCCACTGATCCCAGCTGAGACCCCTGAGCAGTTCATTCCAATTGTCAATTTCTCACCTCCTGTAAAAAGAGAAGCAATGGTACTGATCCCTTCCTTCCTTAAATCCCTAATCTCTCCCAAACAATGCCCCAGCCTGTGGCCTTGGAGGAGTCATCATCAATAGCCTGAATGAGAGAGGCTCCTGCACAACACTCCAGAATGCAGAAGGAAGGAGAGCTGCTTATGCCCAAAGCTTGAAGAGGAACATGAACTATGAGGCTCCAAATACCCCCTCCTGGAGCCTGGAATGCATTTTACCAGAGGGAGGAAACAAACAAACAAAAACAAAACACTGCAGGGACTGATTAGGCTTACAATACCATTATTTTAACTACAGCTAAAATTCTAAATGAATTAAATATTCTGTAAGTCAATCTTGCAATTTAGCTGTCCTTTATAGCACTGCTTCTTGGGGAGGGAGGCAAAGAGCAGGACATTGTTCCAAACAACATACTCTGAAAGGTTTAGAACAAATTCTGTCATTTTGACATAATTTAATAATTCATCGGATAAAATTTAAAAATTAAGTTGTTTCTACTTCCCAAAAGGTATAAAAATTGGTACTGCTATAATTGCCCCATCTGTTCTTTTTGTTGTTGTTGTTTTTTAATTTTAGAGAGAGACCGTGCATGAGTGGGGAGTAGGGGTGGCAGAGAAAGAGATAGAGAGAATGAATCTCAAGCAGGTTCCATGCTTAGCCTGATGCGGGACTTAATCCCATGATCCTGGGATCATGACCTGAACCCAAATTCAAGAGCCAGATGCTTAACTGACTGAGCTACCCAGGCACCTCAATTTTTTCTAATTATACATCATCACCTCTTAATATAGTACAGAATTTACTTTTTTGTCATCTACCATTGTTTCCCCTCTGCCTTACTAAAATGTAAGCTCCACATGGGCAGGGATTCCTTCCAGTTTTGTTTACTAATATACCTCCAACAGGTAGAATACTACCTGGTATCACAGGGGCTTAATAAATATTTTCTGTGGTGAATATGTGAATGAATAAGTATATGGATGAAGAAATCACAATGAGTCATCCCTTGCTAGGACTGGAGCTAGAATATCTGGCTTAAGTCCCCGGTCCCACTGACTGTATATACTTGGACAAGTCACTTAACCTCCCGAATTCCAATTAACCCAGCAGTAAATTGTTGTGGACAACCATAAAACCAAATCATTGTACTAAACTGGGAGCCCATAAGCTATAAAGGAAAGCCTAAGTGAGTTGAAACTAATAGCACTGATGATAGCTGCTGCTACTACTGTAATTTCTACTAGTAAATTAAAGCATTAAGACTAATATCAGGATGGAAAATAAGATGCAAATCAGATGCAACTTTGGTGAGATCTTCTTAAAAAGCCAGTTTAGAAATGTATTGTGCACTAGTACTCACATGTGAATTTGGCTCTGAGTCTCTCTGATGAGAGAAAAAATATTACTGAGTAACCAATCATCTAAGAATGCCCATCTCAAGCCTACCTGCCTAACTAAACAGCTGCACAACCCTATCACAGAGGATGGAAAAAATATAAACATATGTAAACATCATCCACATGTAATGGTTATGTCAACTTCACCATGCATAATTCTGAAAGACTCTCACAATTATGACTCTTTGGGTCACTGGAAAAATCTCATGCCCACATTATTATTAAGTAAAAACAGCTATGTCTGGCTTACTGATGTTAGAAGGACCTATAACAACTCTTAAATTTTCTTGACTTTTTAGCTGAAAGAATGTGGATTCCTCTGTTGCCATCAACGACAGTTATCACAACATTTGATAGCCATTTGATAGTTGGCCCCTTGTTAACCAAAAGATTATAGAAGTCTTTGTTAGAAGTGACTATTAATGTATAA